TGTCAAAATAAAACTTTGATTGTGTAGAAGTTCTGTTGTGATTTCACTTCACTCTTTCGTCGCCCACGAATTAGGCTCGAATCCAGTCGTGGGCCGGCCTCGGGTCTTCGGATCGAGTTGAATTGAACTGTATCTTGACGACGCATTGGAGCTTGGAATGGACATCATAAAATCGCCAGCCATGAAAGTTGTGGGGCAGTTGATTCGGGTTCTCCAGCTTTTCGCCTCACTCAAATTCATTTTTTGTCTCTTTTCCACTTTATCAAACTCGCTGATCTTGCTGTTGTTGTCGTTGTTGTTGTTGCTGTTGTTACTGTTGCTGCTGATGTTGCCAGCCTAGGTTTGGTCGATGCGAGAGGCGCCACGGTTCGAGTCCTCTCGATCGTGTCGAAGGGGCAATAGGGGTTCCGGCAGATCGTGGAGGTCGTCAACGGAATGGTCAATTCGTTCACATGCTCTTTACGATGGGCATGTGGAGATGCGCGGGAAAAACGCCGTTGACGATGTTTCTGACGCGAATTTTTACAAAAACTCACAATTGGTTGTTAAGTTGCGGGCCCCTATAAAGTATAAACTATGAGAAGAAAGGATAATTTTCTTCGATGAAATGAGAGTGTAGTTAGGAAAGGAAATAGACAGGGGGCGATTATTGGTCCCATGGTGTAGCGGTTAGCACTCTGGACTCTGAATCCAGTGACCCGAGTTCGAGTCTCGGTGGGACCTTATTTTTTCGGATCGTAGAAATCGCATTTTCCTTGTTTAAAACATGACTAGTCTAGTACCTTTGTTGTTTGTGTTTTTAATTATTCTCTACTTCCCTTATTATTATTATTATTATTATTTATTCATCACATTCATATTTACTTTTCCTAATATACCATTAAGCTCAGTATGCATTTTAAAAGCGCATCCTATTTTTGTCAATAGTAATTCTTCGAAAACTCCATATTTATTGGTAATTAGTGTGAATTTTTTTATTTTAAATTTCGTCATCTTGCCTCAAACAGATCTATTTGTTTCTTCTGAATGCCGAAGAGTGAACTAGTTAGTCCATTCTATCTAGGCCCAGTTCGAGTGCCACCCGAGCTCGAGGAAGCAATGATTCCACATGAAATTGTGCATAAAACCAACCAACTAGACGCATGCCTCTATTCGGTAGTCAGAAAAGTGTGAATTAGTTGCCAAGGCAAATGTACATGGAAGGCAGGACCCTGAAGACAACAACAATGAAGCGTCTGTACTCAGTTCATAGCCTCAGGGATTCACATTTTGTCGGACTGGACGGTAAATAAACAAATGACAAACAGCCTGAAAGACGTTGTTGCCGCCACAGAGGTCGGGTGTGAGGACTCGCGGCTCTACAGAAAGACATCTGCTCGTGTGCCGGCACTGCCGCACATCTCCTCATTTTTCAGCTCATCCTGTCGGTTACGGAATCCCTTCGCGAACGGATTGTTCTCGATCTTCACGCGAATCACATCGGGATTCTGGTAGGCCGTGACTGTGTGAAACTGGGTGCCCGGAATGACGTAGGAGCCGACCAGTTCGAGGCCCATCCCAGCCGGCCTTGCGGAGGCGGCATGATTGCCGGACAGGCCGAAGCGAGAGGACTCGAGGCCGCATGTTCTGGCGGGATGGATGGGGTCGAGCTTGCGAGCGATGTGGATTCGCGGCAAGTATTGGTGCATGCTGTAGACGTAGATCTGAAGGAGAAAAGGCAGAAAAATTCGCTATTTACCTGTATAATCTGCACACTACTCATAAACTTGACAGTAGTTATATTGAGTAAATAACGAGATATTCACATAAAGCCACATTTAGAAGGAACCGGCTCGTCTAGCTTTACATTGCCGTACATGCTAGCAACAAGCTGAAATTATTTTTAAATAAATATATTGGAAAAGTTTTACTTAGTCGTGCATACTACTTAAAAGTTAAACAGTAGTTTCGAAATAAAAGGATATTCATGCCATGCCACATTTGGAAAGAAAAGGCCTTTTTTTGCCACACCCACTACTACGAGATGAACCGTATAAAAAAATATGTATAGCGGTATCAAAGGCCTGTTTAGCCTTACTTTGCCGCACATACTACTTAAAGGCTAAAAGTAGTTTATAAAATAAAATGGCTGCTTCAGTTTACCACATAGATATGTGCGTGAATGCACGCTTGCACACTACTGACGAGCTAGACAGTTGTTAAAATAGCAAATAGATACTCCTATCAAGCCGCAGACTTGTACAAGAATGAGAAATTTCGCAGATGTCTTACCATGTTGTCACTGCTTTTTGAAGTTTTACTATTAGTTATCTTCACCCTGGTAAAATTGACACCTGACTCCATCCAATATGAGCCAAGTTTTGGTGAGTCCTCTTGAATGTAGATCAGGGGGCCTAGAAAAGGATGAAAAGAGGTTTTAGAATCAAAATACACACGAGACTGCTTCCCATATGGCCCGAATTCCCCAGCATTCTTACCCTCAATGTGAGCAGCCCCAATCACCATCTTCATCACTAACATCTTATGCATTATTTATCAACAAAGACACTCCAACAAAGCCAACACCAGACCTCAGTCATATCAACACTTGCTCCACTTGCATTGGGCTTGGCAATAAAATCCTATAAATTTTGCAATAAATGAGCATCTGGTATGGGATCAAGAAATAACGCAAGAAGCACTTACAATTGAGCTGCTGCGGCGGATATTCATCGGCCTGTCCGCTGACGACCCATTGGCCTGCGTTGTGCTTAAAGACGTTTGGTTGAACCAGTACCATGTCGATGAAAAAGGTGTACAATTCGCTTGGGCAGAGTCCGGTAACTTTTAACGAGAGAGACGGGAAGATACGCCTGAAAGCCGAGCATGGAGGAGCACACCAGAAATTAAGTTAAAAATATGCCAATAACATTTTCATTTAACCTAGAAAAAACGGATGCTTTGTTTGCCATTAATTCTAACACTAAATAATCATACTACTTATAAGTAACATGTTTTAATAACTAGATTTTGTGGATTTTAATCTGATTTAAACTGATTTTCATCACCATTTTAAGTTTTTTTTCTATTCTGCATCTTGGCTTGACATTTTTGCAAGAATTATATTCAACTCTGAAAAGGTCTGTTATGTGGCAAGATAGACGAAAACTGTGTCCAGTTTTAACGGATCTGAAGTAAATGGTTTTGTGGGTTGAGTCCAGCGGAATGTCATAGAATTAACCAACGACGGTACAACAGCGGAAATCCGCTACCTCGTCTTGGCGAGATCCTCCCATACATCACTTCCTCGTTAACTTTTACAAGACACCATCAGAGTTGACTACAAATCCTACAACCTATTTGTGCCAACTACGTAGAAAACTTACTTGGACTCATCAGCGTTGATCTCTTAGACATGCAAATATGCACACACACACATACATGTGCACAGTATGTTACAAATTAACAAAATTAGTTGGTATCGAGAAAATATGTGTTTCAATCAATCTGATAATTGATTTATGTTGTTGCGGTACCAGCCATTTAGTTTGAGAAAAAAGCGAATTCGAAGACTTTTTGTTGACTTTTCAACTCTTCCGCCGTGATCGACTGTGCCAAAATGTGAATACATGCGCCAGGCAATCAGCAGATAAAAACCTTGTGTTTCTGTTGTGGTCACCTTTCTCGGTGAAGCTATCCACTTGCTCCAATGTTGTATTGTTGTCATGGTAAGCTTGATGAGCACGTCTTGCTCAGAGCGGATCGTGACTTTTCCAAATTCGCTCAAGTTTTGTTTGATTCATACGATTCTGTGAGAAGTCGGAGATCGCCTTAAAAGCACTCCAACGCTCCAAGAAATTCTATCAAGCACTACTAGCATAAAGGTGGTCTGCTAGAATTCCATCTACGCTACAATCTACATCTCGTGAAGATTGAAATGTGCATCTTGCAATGATAAGGTTCGTTTTCCCATGCCTCATATGCACACACTACTCATGAGTAGTGCGGCGTGTGAAAGCCCTAATCAGCTTCGAGGCCAACTCTTTGTCTGTTTGTCCGTCTGTCTCTCACTCTCTCTCTCTGTCTGTCTGTCTGTCTCTCACTCTCTCTCTCTGTCTGTCTGATACTCTGTATATTCCATTTAATTAGCCATTTGTGATTTAATAATATTCTTACATAATTATCATTTAACCAAAATGGATAATGCTTCACAAGTGGACATATTCTTCCCACCCTAGCCGATTATGAAAGAAATGGAGAATAAAACCCACATTTTGGGTCGTATATACATATCCCTGGACAATTTGGTCCTCCATTTTTCGTCTAGGATCAACTGCCTTCGAAGTTCTTGATGAACGAATGTACCAAAATTATCTGTTTTCGGAGTAAATATGACTCATAGAGACTATTTGTAGATATTGAAACGGAACTTTTTTCAGCCTGGATCGCTGAAAACGGTGAAGTTCCGATAATGCATTTTACCAATGACAATGAATTTCATTTATATGAGATGTATTCATCCTATTTGGTTCAGGGTGATGAGGAACTGGTAAATGAATTTGCCTAAAATGGCATCAAAAAGGTGTTCTCGAGGGCAGATATAAATTGCAAGGAGGGGCAGGCATTTTTTCCCATCGCATTCTTTGGTGCAATATGTCGATGCTATTTCGACATGACTTCCCATTTTGAAGGGAAAGTCGGTTGGAAGGAGTTGGTGATGTGGTCTCCGCGGAAACCGAAGTAAGACAGTTGAATTGTGAACATAACTCCTCGACTCACGGCTCCGCGAACCCGATGAAAGTGTGTCTGTACCACCGTGACAGACATCACCAGAGCAAGATTGCATACTTTGTGAAATAGAGCAAAAATATGCTAAACAAAGAGAAAAACTGGTAGTTTTTAAACACCAGACATGTCCGTCTGAATGAGACATCTCATGATTTGGTTGGCTACTCCAACCAGAAGTACTTTCGATGGCAACTGTTTCCTTATTTCTTTCTAACCATAGTTACATGATTGAAGTTGGTATTTTGAAGTCAATGATTATTAAAAGTGTGAGGATAGCGGAAAGCAAACATTTGACTAAAGAGTTGTAATGGCTGACAAATTTATTCCTGGAAAATAATTATCATTTGATTAGCCAAACCGCTCTCTAT